TTTTTTTTTTTTCTCCAGACAACTTAAGCAAATTCCGTTACGCAGAAGCAACAACAACAACAATCCAAGAGTGAAAAGAAAAAAAACTCTGCAATAACAAACATTAACAATCCAGGAGTTTATTATGGCCTCCCCCAGAGCATGAGCATGGGCATGGGCCATCTCTCCTGCATACTGCAGCCTTAATAGTCCGACTACCGTCTTCACCCGAATATAATGCCCGGTCATTATAGCTGTATTTGGCACAATTTACAGCCCAGATAGGGCGATAATTACCGGGCATTCTATTCGGGTGAAGACCGTAGCCCACCTGATTTCCAGACCGCCTGTAGTCCTTGATTGGTGGGCAATTCACCTAGCCAGCCCTGAGAGGCTAAGGGTATACAGACTCTCTCAACTGAGCTCTGGATGTAATTGCGGCCAGCCTGGGGCCAGGTACATCCAGGACTGGCCGGCATTGCGTTCAGATGCATCCGGGACAGTCGTAGTGTGAGCATGCCCTGTGAATTCAGAGACAGGCCCCACTGCTGCCATGTTCATGCTATGTAAGAATGAGCCTGGTCGCTATGGGGGTCCCGGTTAAACAATTTTTCAAAGTTCTGTCTAGCCATGTATGCAGCCTTCAAAGACAAAGTCAAACCATATGTCCTGTCAATTAAACCACCAGTATGTTTGAGCTCTTTATCTCTCTCTCCTCTCACCCTCACAGGCCTCACTCTCTCTCTCTCTCTCTCTCTCTCTCTCTCTCTCTCTCTCTCTCTCTCTCTCTCTCTCTCTCTCTCTCAAACTACAGCTATGGCTATAGCGCCCAGCGCTGTCGAGTACTCCGTTCTATGGTCATTCGCACTCGCTCAGTCGCGCACAAGACCACAGCAGGGCTTGTGAAGCATGAGCTTTTTCCCCCCAACATTTATTTTTATTTTTATTTTCTTACCTGCGATTTGTTTCACATGCCAATGATGCCACGTTTTTTCTTTTTCGTTTTCATATGCCACGTTTAAAACCCACTTTGGTCAGCTATTTTCAGGTGAAGTAGCATCTCAGCCTTTTAGAGTCTCAGGGCATAATCACACTACCGTTTCGAACAGAACGTGCCGTCATTATTGCTGTATGTATCTGGACTGCAAGTTGGCCCAAGTACAGGTATAATTACCGGGCGTTCTATTCGTGTGAAGACGGTAGCACTACTTGCCACAAGTCGCCAGGATTGCATGTGCCCGCTGTCCTTTACAGATTCAGTCCACATGGTCAAATTATGTGTCCTTAGAAAAACAAACTCACCCTCCTACCCACCTACCCCACCTATCCCACCTACCCACACATACGCTGATACACTCCTACCCCACCTACCCACACATACGCTGATACACTCCTACCCCACCTACCCCACCTATCCCACCTACCCACCCACCCACCCACACATACACTCCTACCCCACCTACCCCACCTACCCCACCTACCCCACCTACCCCCACATACACT